GAGTGCAATTGCAGTAGGCAGGTAAGCAAGTACAAATAAACAGGGTTACTGAAAAATAGAACTCACGGAGCAAAAGCAGTCTGCCCTTCCTTTGGGCTCACACACTGTTTCATAATGAACTCATATTGCTTTCTAATCTTGCCTTCAGTTCATGTGAAGAAATATCCTACCTGTCTATCCTAATTACTTCACGTCTTATACAAAAGTGAGCTTGTACTGAATGTAAAATACACAGAATCCTGTCAAAAATAAAGGAAATAGATAGAAAATGGCCTGAAACTGTTTTGTTTTTTTTTTCCCCCCTCACTTGAAGAGCTCAATCTGGTTAGATGCCAGAGAGAATACTAGATGGAATCAGCAGTTCATTTATCTTCTGTGCTTGATTTTTCACAATTGGAAAAAAGAAAACCAGCAACCAGTATTTTCCCCAGCATAAGAGCAGCTACAAGTCTTAATTGCCACTGAGTGTAAACTCTCATTTATTTCAGTCTTTGGACCTTAGACATAATGGGGTTATTCCTGAAACCCCTACTTCTCCAAATATGACTTTTTTTTCACTTCTATTATGAATACCTATAAAAACAAGTTGTGCTGAGCTCTGTAATCTATAGAGTTCGATGGAGGTCATGACTCCTCACCTAACATTTGACCCTGTACTACATCTCATGGTCTGAGTTATGATGTGAAGTCCATATCAGGTCCATCAGCCTTTCAGCTGTACCCTACAGGTTTACACTCAACACCATTACTAATTTACATGCAATTACAGCAGCAGATACTCAGTACTGTCCTTTCTTCCCCATTCACAGAATGACAGAAGGGCCAGGATTGGAAGGGACGTCAAGTATCATGAATCTCCAACCCCCTGCCACATGCAGGGCCATCAACCTCCACATTTAATACTAGACCAGGCTGCCCAGGGCCCATCCAATCTGTCCCCTCCAGGGATGGGGCATCCACACATCCATCACAACCTCTCTGGGCAGCCTGTTCCAGCACCTCACCACACTCTGTAAAGAATACTGATCTGTCACCAGCTGCCTTAATACAACCAGCAACTCATGCCAACATTTTCCAATTGCTTTTGATGTAAGTAGTAGATATTGCACCTAGTTCTATGCATCTCCAGCACCAAACGTTCTGTCAAGCTGGACCTAGATTAGCTCATTTAGCCTAGAAATATCCACTAAATATCATTTTAGTGTAGTCTCCCTTTTTCCCCTTCCCTGAACCTAGATTCTTTATCAGACCCTTTCTTTAAAATTTACAAGTACAAGAGCACATAGAAGACTACTATCAGGCTGCCCAGAAGTACAGCTCCATGTTAGGCAGACAGTCATATCCCACTGTGAAATTAAGTTTGATGTTCAATCAGATTTGCAAAGATTTCACCTCAGGCTAGGAGAATTCTATTTTATTGTAAAAGAAACAAGGAAGATTAAACTTTTAAGAAGGGGAAAGTAATTGAATTGTCATGTGTTGTTCTAAGCACAGACAATTCCCTCTGCAACATGCTTGAAGTTTCGGTCTTTTGTTCATCAAGGCCTGAGAAAAGGAGGTACATACCAAAAAAAAAAAAAAAAAAGCAACCATTGTATCCGATATAAGAGTGGGAAAGATCCTGGGGGAATATTTTATTGCTGAGCTCATCAGAAACAACATGAAAACAACAAGTGGAGCCCCTGTAGATGGCAGTAGTACTTTAAGTTTCAGTGTCACAGCAGTGGACACAGTAGAAGCCAAACCAGATTCTCACAGTGAAGATGCGGCCGATTGCCAGGGTCCCCTGAAGTGGCACGTTATGCTAGTAATCAGCTGGTTACTAATGCCTTTTTCTGTTGGAAGAGAAGCAGTTTAGTATCTGCCAAATAGAAGAAAGATGTTTCTGAGCCTTGTGGTATCCCTCCTAGTTCCCTTATTTTACTGTATCTCCACTGCCACAAGTATTATTTTCAAAAATATAAGTTCTTCAGGCTCACAGAAGGGCTTGACTTTGTCAGCTTGGAAGAGCACAGCATAGTAATACTTCAACAGCTAGTTCAGTTATAGCAGAAAGTTAATGATTACTTACAAGGCTTTTAGTGCTGGACAGCTAGTCTAAAGACAGTATGAAACAGAACATGCAAGAAAGGTCAAATACCTCTATTCACAGCATTTTTGTATGATCTGAAATGCTGTAACTCTACCTAGAATTTTCTGCACTACACAGATCCTAGAGGATCTGAATTTTTATTTAAAAAATAATTAAGATTAATGTTAACAGTTCCCAGCCTAGGCATCCAACTAATAATGGATTAGTGCTGTGGAGGAGGCCTGAGTAGAGCAATACTCTTTCCCCCCACATTAGCAGAAGCAAAAGGAGGAGCAGCTGGGCACGCAAGGACATCCTTTTTGGCAAGGTCTGCACTAGGTACCCTGTCTCATATCTGGGTAAAGCTGCTCAAAGAATTTGAGGTGAAGAACTACCCTAGAGAAAGCAGTTACTCAAGAACACTGTATCTAAAATGTTACCACATTCTCCTCAGCTTCATCCTGACAGCTTCTCAGTGCAAACTTGAAAAGTCTGCTGAAGTCTGATTACTGCACTGGTTCTAGAGGACAACTGAGAGTTTTTACCTGTAGGGCACGATGTGAAAAACAGTTAAAAGTGACCCAAGGGTGAGTGACAGTTATACATACACACAGGCTTCCAAGCTCCACTAGCCTGCTCAAAACACATCCTTGGAACCACCATTTCACTCTCTTGAACTGCTGCAGGCAGCTTTCACTGTTGTCTGTTACTATTAACTCTCATTCAGCTACAAATGAAGGAGAGCCAGTAGAGCAACAGGAAACAGAATAAAATTGGGTTTCAACTCAAATTAGGGTTTAAATCCTTGACAAGATATTGCTTATCTAGTTGACTATAAAGTAATATTTCCTTTACATCTCCTATTTTGGCCTAATCTGACATTTTAGGGCTCTTCCTTGCACTTTTGTCTCTTTACCCTTTTAACTCACTATGAAATAGGGTAAATAAGAATCCATCTGCAAATTTATCTCACCATCTCTGCAGTTTTACTCAGATATAAATTATCTGGACATAAAAGCAAATGAAATGCTATACAGATAAACCTATCCAAGAAACCTTACAGTTTCTTTTAATGTAGTCTCTCTGTTTGAGACAAGGATTAGGACCTTATTACAGTTACTTTGTATCTCAAGATTCTGGCTTTGATGTTCTTCTTTACATTTGCTATCAGTAATAGAGAGTCACTGCTTTCTCTAGTGTTCCTTCATGTGTTTACTTAGATCACAACATACTTAGGGCTGAGACTGGAGCCTTTTATTTTAGTCTTTACAGAGCAAGCATAACATTAATAATAATTACTTCAACACAGTTTCTGGGGTTTACACTGTTTCCTAATGGAAATCAAAAAGATAATACAAACCCAACATAAAATAGTTTATTCATAGTCTAAATAAAATATAGACTGTGAAAGCTGAACTTTTGACCAAATTTTAGGGCAATTTTGAAGCATATGACAGCATAAATTTGTTGGGCTATTCAGAGACTGTACACTTTTTCCACTGCTGTGTTTAAACAAACAAATATCTATCAGCTTACATTAGCATTCCATTTCTTGCCTTATACTATTCATGCTGCTGGATGCTCTTAAAGCCTGCCTTTAAACAGTACAGGGGAAAAAAAAACACCCATAAAGCTTTGAGATTCTTCAAGATAAGAGGTGCTATGAAAGTTGTTACCAAATTTGCTGTTTAATATATTGAACTGATGACAGGCAGCAAAGGAGTGGGGGTTACCTCTCAACATAATTTGCCTTAGGTGGAAACATTCTGTTTACTGAACACTTCATTCACCTCCCAGTGAAAAACCAACGATGGCATTTGCTGTTTTCATAACAACCCAGGAGAACACTGACTGACAGGCTGCTACCCCCTGATGGCTAAACAGTGAAGGAGAACTAATGTGAGAAACAACATCACTGAAAATAACTGCAGCCATCACCAAAGCACATGTGCTCATTCCAGCTACAGATCTGTTTCCCTGCAGCAAATCCCCAGTTCACCTCCCATAGTGGTAGGCTGTTACTCTGGTTCTGCAGCACCACCACTTCCCTTTCCTTTTTTCAACTGTGTAAGCCAGCTGACAAGCTAGGTGAATATTAGTAAAGAGAACTGATGTCCAGGTGCCTAAATGTTATGGGAATCAAGTGTAGAGAGTTTCCAGGTTATTTCCATTCTCAAAGTTAGAGAATGGCACTGTTACTACTTATGAGAGGGGGGGGGGGGGAAAATCAGACAATAGAACATGTCTTGAAAACTTACACGGGACTAGTAATACACTCAAACAGGAAGCCTCCAGACAAATCTATGTACTATCTGCACCACCAGTCTAAATTTAGAACTGAAGAACCACAAAATCCAGGACTCCCTGCTAAGCAGTACTGCTGTGAGCAAGAAGGCAGACAGCTGCCAAAACTGGAAAAGGGTCCCAGTAAAAGTAAAACCTGTTCCAGCTGTAAGGATAGAAAGGACAAGCAGGGAGCTTACTTAGATCAGGCAGCTCCACAGTGGTTATTGCATTGTGGAAGTGAGTTCAGTAGCAAGAATAATTTTAAAAAATCCTAATGCAAACAGTCATAAGAGTAAACTGAAATAGCATCCACAGTCTGAGTGAGTGGTTTCTCTTAATTGAGGACAAAACAAAAAAAAAACAAAACACACAGAATTCAGCAAGTATGCTTGCGAAACCACCTGCCGGTGTGGGCAAGAGTGATTAAGCACAGCAAGATTCAAGAGATGCTTCTCAAAGAACTCTGCAGTCAAATTTCACAGACCAGTGTATACATAGATGTGGTTATTTGTGATTATGCATGTTTATTATTCTGACCGGCACTCACAGCAAGGTAGCCAAAATGCCCTGAAAGGCAAAGCACACAGATGAAGTCAAGAAATAAAGCAGAACAGGTCTATGCCTTAGGGCACAGCTTTTTTACCTGATATTTTCAGAGTATTTAAATAAGCTTCTCCACTCTCAAATTACTGTTGCTTCGCTGGATGACTAACTCAGGCAGCATGTTTTGCAAGAGATTTTGAAGGCTAATCATGGGGTTTAAGTGCCTATTACAAATTTGTTTTGCTTGGTGCAGAGAATATACATAGATTTATATTTGAGTCCAGAAACTGAACTTACTGCTGAAGTACAACCTGCTTTAGCAATAAGGAAGAATCCCTTAAGTTGTTTACAGTGAACATTTCCAAGCCAAGAAACACAGAAAAGCAATACAGACCATCTGTTTTGCTACAAGAATTGCAAGTAACATTAAAGAAAACTGTGTCTGGGGGACAGTAAAACCTTCTGAAGGAGCAAATGGCTTTCTCACCAAGTATAGAGCAAAGTCCCACTGTTGGACTCAGCCTGATCTACACTTGAAGTCTTAAGGCTTTGGTTGCAAATGAGCCCATGTTTATTGAAACAAATGGCTTAAATTCTGAAGTCAAGCATTTTCCAGTTGGAAATCTGACTGATATACTACTTGTGTTTTGGAATTACTTGTCAAGTCTCAGAGAGTGAGGTTTGTCTGAGCCACAGTGGAACAACAACTCTTCCAGGTCTAAGTACATTCCTTGCATCACTGCTGCTAGAATTTCTAAATACTTCATAGAAAAACTGAAGAACATAGATGGTATGCCACCTTCTCTCAAGAGGAGATGAATGCATGTAAGCAAGCGAACAATTCAAGAAAAAGTGTGAGAATTATTTCTAAGGAAAAGCATTCAGCATGCTAAAGTGATATTAATGCTGGATTAGTCCAAGAGTTACCAAAAAAACTGGTGGTCATGGAGTGGCTGCAGTATGCCTGACACAAGCCGTTTCTCTAAGCAGGAGAAAGAGGATGTGGCAACACAGGCCCAAGCGCACGGCTGAAGAACCAAGAGTGGAGCAGAGGATAGTCAGTTTTGTCAAGGAGAAATTGCAAGTGCTACAGTCCCACTGTATGGGAGGCCATGCCATGGTGAACACCAACAAAAACACCCTCTTTCCTTGTTTCTGTGTTTCTTCCCTCACTGACTCTCCTAGGCTCTGATCACCTACAGACACACGTCCCATGCACTCCCTTCATTTTCAGACAAGCTTACCTAATTTTTCTTACTTGCCTTACAACTGATTAAGACCCTCAGACAAATTAGCACCCAGTACTCTTCCATATCTGCAGGTCCTACCTTTGGCTGCACAGTTTTCCAGCAAGTATTCATTCCCTCACCACTACATCATTCAACTTGATCCAAACTAAGTTACTTTTTTTCCCCCAACCTTTTTACACCTACAAGAAAGGAAAAATTCCAGCATCCCTTGGCATTGCCCAGGTGTACTAGACACACTAATGTTTGTTCTATTTTGTCCACATATTTTACACAAAAGCTTCAAGTCCTTCCACTGAAGAAACATCTGGAAGACAGCATTCAGGCACAGGTCTCCACTGTCCAGTGCTTATCAGCATCTCACACATAACTGATGTATTATACCACACCCATCAGACAGCAAGTTGTCCCAAGTGCCCAAGAAAGAACATGAATAAATTGGTAGATATCACAATTATTTATATTATCCTAAAAAGCCCATTTAAAACAGAATAAAAACTGAGAAAAAGCTGTTTTGTGTATTATCCTTCACAGGTTTTAACAGATAAGGTTAATACAGACACAGCAACTGCCAATAAGGCAGTTCCTCAATTCTACCCCCAAACACAGGGTTCAGAACAGAGACTTTGCTTCCCCTGTAATAACCAATTTCTGGGACACCTCATTTACAAACACTGCCTGTCACTTCTGACACCCTCATCAGGTCTACTGGTTCAGTATCACATTATTTCACTTATTCTTCCACAATCTGAGCCTCATATCAACGGCCTGCTTCAAAACCAGACAATCATATGCAGATTGCAGTAAGGACACACAAATGTACAGTCAATAAATATGTAGAAGTTCCTTGTTACTTCAGCTTCTGTTCTTCTCAGTAGTAGGTTGTCAGTATTCATCATTATTTAAGGAAATTTTCCCAAGTGAGTTGATTCCAAGCAACAAGAATGCTGCAGAGCATGTCTACATCAGGAAGCTTTTGCTTGAGCTACCTACCCATACCACAAGCTTGCATACAAGTGGAAATTTACTACACTTGTACATTCTAAAATGACTCTTGGTGAGAATCTAGGCTTGTAATAGCTCTGGGCTTATGCTGTAACAGTTATTCCCTAATGCCTGTTCTGATTATTTTAAGTACAAACCAAAGCAGTAGTTCAGTCAGAAGCAGCAGCAGAAGTGCTGGAGTAAACAGGGTGCTGACAGCTGCTGGTGTTTTACATAGGAGGTCACAGAGCCCTAGTTTGAGCTGGATTGCTTTAAATGTTAGTTGCTGCCTGGAGCACTGTTTACAGTAATGCTCACTCCCCTCTGAGGTGAGCTGCTGTAAGCAATAACAGAAATTTCAGTTGGAAAAAAATTAAGTATCATTAGACACAACTAAAGGAAAGCTGTTCAAGGAAATTACAGTTGCACTTCCATTCTATAGAAATGCTATCACTAGGCAGCAATGTTGCTACAGATTAGTAAGAAACTAAATACAGTTACATAATCTCAGCTATTATTTTAAGGACCCCAAGCACAGTTTACCTACAGGAATTCTCAAATAGCACCTCTAATAACTTCTTGCCAGTCTATTTCGCTGCCTTTCTGCTAAGCTCAGTATCTTCTAAGCAGCATGGGGATGCCAGTCAAAGTGAAATTGATGTCCTTTAATACTTGTCACCATTCACTTTCCTTTCCCCCTTACTACCCTTATCTGGGCCTAGGTACTAGTAGCTTGTACAAGACCCTCACACTCATAGCACAGGCTGCATGTTGCTGCCCACCTGCCAATGGATCAGCTTAGCATGCAAGTGCTATTTTATAATTTCTCACCAGACAAAAGGCACTGAGTCTTATGACTTGCTCCATGTACAGGTGGACTTTGTCCTGCAGTTGAACTCCTTTTCACCTTCTGATGCCTAAATTACTTTTGATCCTCACATTGAACTGCAGCTCTGAGTTCTCACAATAATTACCATGGGTAGTACTTTTCCACCCTGACATCAAATGTTGCCATGAATATATATTCGCTAAAAGCCAGCATCACAAATAAATTTGAAAACAAAATGCCTACATGTATTTAATTTTGAAGTCATATCTTATCAGCTGAGCTTTTAATAAAGAAACTTGCCTTATAATAGGAATTACAAATTCTACTTCTACTAGGGAGAAGGACTGTAGGATGAAATCTGGAAGCCGACACTAGGAAATACAGGACTCTGAAGTTAGTTTGGAGGATTCAGCACAAGTATCCTATGAGAAGCAATACCACATTGATTAATAACATAGGGGAGAGACAGTAAGATTCCTATAGGACTGAATGAACCAGTCACCCTATTTCATACACACTAGATGACACTTACTTGCATAAGTGCTGAGCTACCAGGCAGCAGCTGGAGATTTACAGTGTTGACACAAACATTTCCTGCCTAGCAAAACGTCCCTGTAACAAGAATAACAGCTAGAGAGATTGCAGCCACAAAATCAAACCCATACTGGGTTTGATGCCAGTAGTACAACACTTGCACTTGTAAGTACTTGAATTACCTTGTACTACCATGAGGAAGCTACTCCCCTTTTAGCTAAGCTGTTCATAGAATATAAAAGTCATTGTTATGAAGTGTTACAAAGGACAGAACTTCAGTTTCTGAAATTGCCAGTAAATTACATCTTTTTATACTCAAAATTCAATGCAGTTAAACAGAAGACAGTCCATTACAAACTCAAAAAACACAGGACATGCTACTAAAGTGAGGAGCACCCAACTGCAAACATGTTCAGTGCTGTACCGCACAGCCCAAAAGAGGCTGGAATTAACCATGGCATACTTCAGTGCTGATTTACCCAACATCACGGTTGCGCTGTTGCTACCACAAACATAAGAAAATGACAGCATGAAAGATAGTGGTTAGGATAAGAGGTCTCTAAACTTGAAAAACAAAAGCTGTTACAAAGAAGTTAGACTCCATCTGGTGTCTTCATGGAAGAAATGCTAGGTTCTGTTAGAAGCAATATGTTGTTCAGAAGAACCAAAAAGATTCAGGAAGCCACATTATGGAAATTATAGTACGATTCCTATCAATGCAATTCTATAAGATTGCAAGTCTGTCTAAAACAATGCATCAGCTTTTGTGGCTTAGTAGCACTGCTAGGTTGTTTTTTCCGTTGTTGTTTCTTTGGGTTTTTTTGTTTGTTTGTTTTTGCCTTAAATGCAGAGCCACAGGCCACCTCTATTCATCTAAACATCTTTAAGAGCCACAGCACTTGGGACATCATTTATGCAATGCATACATATACAATAAGCACACAGGAGACATGTTTCCAAAACAGAACAAAGTACACTGAATAAGTTACTACATTGTTCACTACATTATACTACAACTACCATCATTGCAATGGTGTGACTAAAACTAGCCACTGAAGCAAAACACACAAATAAAACATGAAATAAGTATTTGGTTGTCAGTATACATGCTCAATGTCTGTACAGAAAGCAGCCTTACGTATTCTAACAAGCAACTAGAAATCAGCACTAAGTGAGCCACTACATCCACTCAAAGGCAGCTTCCTCTCTCACCTGGAGTACTGTGTCCAGATGTCGAGTCCTCAGCACAGGAGAGACATGGAACGTCCAGAGGAGGACCACAAAAGCAATCCAAGGGATGGAGCACTTCTCCTGCAAGGACAGGCTGACAGAGTTGGGGCTGTTCAGCCTGGGGAAGAGAAGGCTCTGCAGAGACCCAATAGTGGCTTTCTAGTATCTGAAGAGAAAACAGAAGAAAGAAAGGACTCTTTTGCAGCTGTAACAGGACAAGGTGAAACAATTTCAAACTATGAGGGGGGGGTGACTTAGAAAAAAGGGTGTTTTTTTTTAGTAACGATAGTGAGGCACTGAAACATGCTGCCTAAAGAGGTGGTAGGTGCCCCACTCCTCAGACACTCAAGGTCAGGCTGACAGGACTCTAAAGCAGCAAGCTCTCACTGTGGCTGTCCTGGATCACATTACAGGGGAATTGGGCTAAATGACCTTTAGGAATCCTTTCCAACCCAAACAATTCTCTGATTCTTTGCCCTAGCATTGAAAGTTCAGCATTCGTTTCCAGATTTCATACAGCATTGTTTACTTATAACCTATATAGATACCAGCACAAAACAGTCTGTCAGCAAAGGAAAGAAGACCCACAATGACATAACAGCCAGCATTTCTTCCACACAGTAGTTCCATTAACTTATTTTGGTACAGGGCTCACCACACTAGTCCTTTGTTAATAGCAGTGCAAACCAGAACTAAGTAAACAAGGCAACTACCCCCCTTACCACAAAAAGTACTACCCCATAGCATCCAAACAAGGAGAGCCATAGTAACCAGGGCCAGCCACAGTCCAGCCAGCAGCAGAAACAGCTATATTATCAAGGCAGGCTCTAAAGGCAACATAAAGACAGGCACTCACCAGCTCAAGCACTGCCTGCAAATAGAGCCTGCCAGCAAGAGCTTTCTCCCCAGCTGCTTAAATGCAGCTTGAAGGCCAACAGGTGGAGGTGCATGAGTGAAGGCCCATGTGAGGCTGATGAGGGCAATCAAAGCTTGCTGACCTACTGATAGCTCTGATAAAGCCAAGTGTCAGCTTTCTGGTAAGGGAGAAAAGAGTGTATCTGGGTCTGAAGGGAGTTGATGCTGTGTGTGCACACTGATCACAGCTTAGATGCAATTAATATTTTTGAGGGGTTCCTACATAAAAGCCCTTTTGGATGTTAAGGGTGAGCTGAACTTCACAAGTGGGGAAAAATAAGAATAAGAAATGCATGCAATATTTGAAAGCTGAATATATCTATATTTCCTTTTCTTCTGATGGCTGTGGTCTTCATATGCCTGTCTCCTTGTTCTAGATTGCAATCTGTCACAGCTGCAGAAAATACTGAGTGCAGTGGGAGAAAAAAAGTGGGCATCTGAAGATAAGCACCTTAGTCCTGAGATGTGACAGACAGGCTGTTAGTTGCCTCTGCGCTATCAGATTCTTCAGATCTTTCAGAAGTCATCCAACTCAAAAGGGCATATTTTGGAGCCTGTGCAGCACCCTGCATAGAACTGTTCAATGACAAAATATTTGAAGGAGCTTGAAAAGAGTTCAGAGAGTTATCTGTAACCTGTTTTACCTGTTTAGTCTTAAGTTACTTGGAATTAAATGATAATTGACATTGGGAAAAGGAATTGTAGTTCTGTGTGATGTAGTGGGTTAATAAAGTCTTTACCAGAAAAATAAACAAAATGCTCTTCATTGCTGAAATGCTGCTACTCTTTGAAACTTGCCTTGAAATGTACCCTGTGTGCCCTGGTACTCCTAAGGGAGTTTGCTGTAGCATGTATATTTACCTAGATACATCTGATTGTTAAAGAATATATATATATATATATATATATATATGTATGCACAGTTATAATGTAGACCAATAATACTATTATTCCATATAACATGGATAGATACAATGCTGATAATCCTTAGAAGGATCAATTTCATATTTAAATTTAGAGAGAGATCACTGTAGCAGGAGAGAGATAGATCTATGCATGTACAGAAATTCTAATAAACTGTTTGGAAGCTTCTGCAGAAAAAAAAAATGGTTGGCAGCTTGAAGTAAGAATGCTACAGAAAATATCTGATATACCTGTATACAAGAATTTCTACCATTTTATCTGCATGAATGCTCTACTGGCTGTAAGCAGGAAAGGTATTAGAAATTACTCATTTTTTATCTTCACTGGAACCATTTACACCACTGAGCACATCCTGTATTATTCAGACAATGTACTCAGTAGTCCTTCTGTAAGACCTGCATGCTGAGTAAGAAAATCAGCAATTTACAGGGTGATGGGATTTACAGATACCAGCAGTTGGTGAACCTTTAGTCCTTGAAACTGCAGTTGCTGTATTACCAAGTGTCCAAGGAGGAATGATGTAGTGTAGTGCTATGGCATTTGCACCTTGACCAATTGCAATTGTGTGTCTTGTGCAGTTAAAAACAATGTGGAAAGTACTCTAAAAGTTTGTAGGAAATTTATACTCCTACTCGTTCATTTATTTTACTGAGAAAGATTATTGAAGCCGAAGTTGAACCTACTCTGTGCTTGCAAGGCATTATGTCTAGTAAGATAGCTGGGGGCTAATATTAAATGGACAAATTTGAGACAGTCACAAAAGGATCTTGAAAAATTGAGTGTATAAATGCTCATGGCTACATCTACATCTTCATCTTCAGAGAAAGCGGCAACATCTGGAACTGTCTCCTCCAGCATTTTGCTTGCAAAGGAGATAAAAAGATTGCAAGAAACTGCTGTACCAACTAAGACTTACTAAGACAGTTGAGAGGAATTGGCAAGCAAGATAAACTTCATTTTCTTGGATGTAGCAAGGAATGTCAGATGCTGCTAAGTCACCAGCTTGATTTCAGGCAGTGATTGCTAGGAAGTGAATTGGTTTTTGATGACTTGCCTTCATCTGAAGTGTGGGAACCTGGGCTGCAAGGAAGCAAAGGCTGCTCACTGATTGCCCCTTCACAATGTTGCCTGGCAGAACTGCCCTGCTGCTGTCTCAGCAGGAGGGATCCATCCCGAGCAGTGCTTCCTTGGCTCTGTCTCTAAAGTTAGCTGAGTGAGCTGTGCACTGGGATGGAAGCTTGAAATGCTGCATTTCAGATTTAGTAGGCAGGTGAGAATTTCTCCAAATAAAAGAAATACAACAGAAGGAAGGATGCAGAACAGGCTTGCACAGACAAATAAGTTTCTCTTTTTATAGTGGTAGCTCAAAAAAACCTGAGTCAAGGGCAGATATCCTCTTTTTAGACATGCAGGCTTGCGCCTAGAATTAATGATCTGAGTTAGAGAATATCAAGTGATTGAAAGCTCACAGGCTGGATACTACACACTTGGAATGCTTAAATAGTCCACATTTTTACTCCCAGCTACTGGAAAAAGAATCTCTTAAATAGAAATTCACTGTGAAATGGCAGTGTTCTCTTCCCAGAGCTATAAACTGAATCAAATAGGAACTGAAACTGGGAATCTCCTTTCCTTAATTAGAGTATAACTGTAGATATCCATCTACCTACATGTATGACTCTTCAATATTGATTAAAAAGAGCACATCAAAATAACCTTACAGTATGAAAGCCAGGATCTCAAATCTTAGGAAGTTTTCAAATTCAAGCTGCATGTGCAAGTCTGATTTAGTACTTTTGTTTATGTACTGTTACACCAGTGTGATAGTGCACAGTTACCTGATGTGGTGAGTATTTCTCAGAACCCTTGCCTCTTGTTTTCCTCCTGAATGATGCTGAGAAACATTATGTTTATGTAAAAAATACTGATAACAGGTCATATTATTGTAGGAAAGGGGAATCTATTTTTGCTTCTCTCTGATTCTGAGTGAGATGGGAGCACACAGCAATTTGCAACAGCAAACTGTGACAACCCTAATATGAGGTAAAAGAACCATTACCCTCTAGATTCTGGCCCTGCTCTGAGAAGGAAATTCAGATGAAATCCTTAACAAGAACCAATTAACTAAGCTTCAGTAACCAACCTAAGAATTATAAGGCCTGCCATCCTGTACATAAGGAGACAGAGAAGAATTTTTTGACCGAGTGTAAATTTCATATTAAATGAGATTATAAGCATTCTGACTAGCTGGCCCAATTTTGCTTCTGCATGTAATGCTATATACTGTTCCTTGCTTGCAAAATTGTACCTCCTATTGATGTCAGCAATAGTAGCAGTTACTTTATTTCTAAAGCAACAAAAGCCATCTTCTCTAACTCTCTCACAAGGGATCTCATCAGGATAGTTTATACACAGTTAAAATAATAATAGATCATCCAGCAATTTAAGTAACATGCTTTTGCCAAAAAGAGAGGAATGTAAGGAGAAGAGGGAATAAACTCATCAGGGGAGATAAAATGTTCCACAGTTTCATTGGCCAGGTCAGCACATCTTCACGGCTAGCACAGCTTCTAAGCCACCATCTGAGGAAATTGGGAGGGGCTGGCGAGAGGTTTTACGGTGTCCTGAAGCTGACATCCAGCTGCATCTCTTCAGTTTCACTGTTATGGTCCCAGACAGTCCAAAAACATGCACAGTAGGTAAGGAAAGGCAAATCCACCCTCATACATTCACCTTTTTTCATGTGTTTCATCCTCTAAGTAGTGCTTTTCAGAATTTTAATAACATTTCAGAAGCTCATGAGTTCCCATTTTTATGATATTTGACATTTTTTTCAGACCAGAATTTTAGATATTTTTTTTCCTTCTTTTCCAAGCCTTTGTTGTTGTTATTCAGTTAATTTTCTGACTCCTATTTATTCCACAAGTATCTTCTATCCCCCTTATCTGTTTGCCTCTCATCCCCTGCTCCCTTTGCTACATTGAAACAGACTTGACAGCCTGGTGATCATTTCTACTTTCCACCCTTCAGTTCATCTGCTTTGAGATAGCAATTATTGGAGATATAAGATCCTGGGTACAGAATTTCAAAATGTAATTGGCAAACAAGGATGAGATATTCTCACTGACAGGAAAAGACAGTAAACAAAAAAATAATTCTTCTATGAAGGAGCTTAGCAGCGTGGAACGTTATTACCAGGCATTGCCCAACTGGGAAAATGCCCTCTGGCGGTCACACTGCCATCAGTGCAATCACTTCTCGTTAATGGCGATGCTCTTAACTAGTTAACCGCTGTTATTTGTGTGCTCTTGACTAAAGTTCCAGTGTTTCAGTGTTGTAAGTCTGATTTTAAAGGATGCATCAGAGACCTAAAGGAGTTTGCTTTCCAACACCATGTTACGAGAGGAGAAATGTGAGTTAAGGAGTGTTAGTAGCTAATTTATTTCATTAGAAGAAAAAAAAGTTGATTTTTGGTTTTGATTGTGCAAATGTTTTCAAATCATTTTACTTCCTGTCTAATAATAATAATAATTTTTAAATGGGATTCATACTGAAAATAGAAAGGTACACTTGTTTTCTAGTTACAGTACTCTGATTTTATCAGGCATATGCAATTCTGGTTTTGGGGGAGTTGAGTGTAAAGTGCATTGATTTTAGAGACTGAATCTAAATTTCTCTGTATAAAATGAACCAGCCTCCTACATTTACGTTCAATTTGATCTAGGCACTGCATCTTTGAGTCACTGCAATTTCTGTCAGCACCGAAGCCCCTGACTGCTCTTACTGCTAGCATGCTGGCTGATGCAAAATGCAGCATTACATCTCCTGTTACAGGTTAGAATATATTTTAATCCCATAAATATGTCATAACATTTTCAATTTCTATATTTACAGATATCAAGAATAACACTGCATGCATGTGAAGCGTACAGAATGCTTAACGGAAGAAAGATTCACTCAGTGTAAAAGCCACCACTGCACAATGCCATTTTTTTTTGTTAGTGTGCTTTTTCCTAGCTGGGTTTAAACTACCAGGTACGTGTTTCAGTTCATTGTGTTACCCCACATCCAGTCTCCATATGAGTTTATATCTAATCATTCAAAATTACTGCAGATTGGAAATTTCCTAG